GTTAAAGACTTTGTAGAATCTTGTGATATTTGTTTGAGATCTAAAACTCCTCATCATCGATCTTATAAACTTCTTCATCTATTATCTATTCTAGATTAATCATAGTCTTTTGTTTCTATAGATTTTATTATAGATCTTTCAATCTCAGGTTTGTATGACTATATATTTATAATAATAGATCATTTTATTGAAATGGCACATTTTATACTAAGTACAAAATCTATCACATGTAAAAAAATGGCTAAGCTTTTTCTTAATAACATCTATCACTTACATAGATTGCTTAAAGATATTATATCAAATAGGGGGATTCAATTTATATTAAGATTTTGAAGAATTCTTTTCAAGATTTTAAAAGTGGATTTAAAGCTTTATTTAACTTTTCATCCTCAAACTAATCGACAAATAAAATGGATAAATCAAGTTTTGGAGTAGTACTTGAGGTATACCATCAACTAAAATTAAGATGATTGAACAATTCTTTTACCAATCGTAGAGTTTACATACAATAATTTAATATATTTTTCTATTCAATAAATATCTCTCTTTATCAATTATAGTTATCATCTGTAACTTAATATTTTTAACTTTTTAAAAGTTGATAATCTTATGGTGAAAGATTTGATAAATCATATAAGAGAGCTACATACAATAATGAAAGCACTGTTATAGGAAGCTTAAGAATGACAAAAGATTAATGCATATGCCTATCACAAGAAACAATCACAATTCAATGTAGATGATAAGGTATGATTATTTTGTCGCAACATCAAGACTACTTGTCTTTGTGACAAGTTGGACTATTATAGGCTTGGACCTTTTTCTATTAGTGAATAAGTCAATTTTGTTGCTTATTGATTATATCTATTAGAGTCTATGAAGATCCATCTCATATTTCATATATATTTTCTTAAGCCATATAAGATAGTAAATATCTTAAAAAGAAGAGAAATGCCACTTCTTTGTATAGAAGTTAATAATAATTAAGAATTCAAGGTAGAAGAAGTCTTAGATTCAAGACAACATTGAAATAGGTTGAAATATCTTGTTCATTGGCATGGATATGATATCAGTGATGTCCTATAGGACGTCCAAAATGTGTTGACTTTGTATATGAGAGCCAACAAAGAATCTTGCAAATGCAGCAAAGAAAGTTGAGGCTTTTTATTCACAACATCTATCAAAACTAAGATAAAGAATAGCAAATCTTTGATATAAAAGAAACAAGATCCAAAAAAAGAAAATATAAAGGCCTCAACAATGATCAAATAATAGGATGATCTTTCTACCGTAGTATGGAATAGTATCAATGGTTGAAAAGTCCTATCAACTATCTTTAAAGTGAACAAAGATCAGAATATGTGGAAAATATAATTTATTGCATCTTGAATTTTATCAACACATGATGATTGCTCTTCATAAAACTTATCTTTAGAAGGAGAGATAATGTCATAGATATACATATATATTCTAGTAAATATCTATAAGATTAAATAGAAATAAATAAAAATAAATAAAAATAGATTAATTTCATAATATCTTCTAGAAAAGCTTCCTAAAAGCTTCATATACACTGCTTTGATTTTATATGTATTTTTAATTAATTAGTAGGTAAGAAACTTAGTCAATAAATTAACCACATATTAGTAGCTTGCAGAATAAGCTAACTATAAGGTGTATTTATAAAAAACTTGTCTTATAAATTAAGATATGTATCTTATAAAGACAACATATTTTGAAGGTCTTATAAGTCATCGCCACATAGCTCCTAGTTAAAAGTATATATGGAGGCAAAAGTGAAGTCTTCTTCACTCTTATCAATGACTTTTCAGTCCTTAGTCTTGTTTCAAGACTTTCTAGTTTTTTTATTTTTGGCAATAGCCATTCTAGTTCAATATTATATCATCTTTAAGTGACTTTTTAATTTTTTTCAATAACACTAGAGTATATTGAGGTTTTCTTTCTTTGAAATTTATGTCCTTGATAGAAGGTCAAAGAAGATTTATATGGATAGTTTTTAGTACTTGCATTATTCTTAGATGTACTTTGAGAGCAAATTAAAGTTGATGTTTGAAATTGTCTTTGTTTCTAAGATAGAAAATTATTTGTATTTTTCTAATATTTATTCTTACAAAGAAGTGTGACCTACAAAAAAAAAATTGAATCATGTATTGAATCAATTATACTATTATCATTTATTTTATGTCATTTATTTTATTTTATATCATTTTAATTTCAACATCCTTCTTGATAATAAAACTTAATACTATCAAAAAATATATTTTTTAACAATGATATTGATATAGTCACATAATATTGTAGCAATATAGAATGTCTTTTTTTCTATTAACTCAAAACATTCAATGTTAAGTCAATTTCTCAAGCTTCCAATTGAAATGGCAAAGTAACTTATTTTTCCATTAAAAAGTGTGAAAAGTTTCAGGATATGTGTGATATTTCATATTCCAAATCTTTGGATTTAGTCAAAGATTTCAGCCTTGGTTGCTTGGCAACATCTTATTCATTAAAAAAAATACAACAAGTAATAGATGCATAAATTCTATTACAACTTACAATCTTTTTTTTGCACTAATTCAACATATATATGGTCCATGTACATGTAGAATTGTCCTTATTTGTCTCTATTCTTACTCTTTGATTTTTCCAAAATAAACATCCACCATAGTTGCATCATTTTTTTTCCTATCCTTGTTCTTCTTGTCTACCATCCCTTGTTTTCCATCCCTCCTAAATTTAATTTAACACATCTTCTATGTATATTGTGTATGAATTTGGATTTTTCAAACAATATGTAAAAATAAAAAAATTCAAATAAAAATAATAGTAAATTGATTAAATAAACTTGATTTATTTTTGTATGTTTATTTATCAGTTTATATTGTTGTTAAGGTTTAAATTATTATGAAAACTCCATTTCCAGCCAAAAGAATATTGTACAACTTTCAAAGATTGCAATACTTTTTGATAATTTTTTGATAATACATTTTCATCACACAAACATCTCTATTATTTACAAATATCAATGATTTAAAGATATTTCAATGGTTATACAATCATCTGCCTTGCAAAATGAGTTTTCTCTGATATATATATATATATATATATATATATATATATGTAAAAATAAATTTCTTGTTCTTTTTTCATTTTTATGACACAACATTCTGAGTTTCTTTTGCAATGTGTATAATCTCATTTATGCACAAATATGTGTAGTTTTGTGCATACTCATGTACATGGATCTATGTACTAAAGAATGATTTTTTTAGTTTCTTTATGTATACATATATATATATATATATATATATATATATATTTAAATCAAGTTATGAATTTAGTTGTGGAATTTTATTGTTCTTGTGATTTTTTTTTTAAAACATGTATATTTCCGATTATAATAAAAAAATATTGATGAAACCATATGTATATTTTTGGAGTTGAAATACTGATTATAAATTAGTTTATTTACAGTATTCCACCACAATATTTACATAGAGAAATAATTTGTTTAAATGAAATCAATTTCATAGAAGTCTGCTGATAGGCTTGAATAACTGCAGAGGGTTATAACGAAAATTGTCACGAAAGCCGAATATGTAAAGGGAAACATTGATAACATTGAGAGTGGCATTATTTCTAAAGTGAGTTGTATTGGGCAATAAAACAGTCAGACAGAACGTTTTTGTTCTTTGAAACCTTTTCATAAAAGTTTCAATGACAACATAGTGGTAGAAAATGTTTTAGTCGTAGTTATGAACATTAGTTGGACTGGAAATTTGTGGTATAGAAAGCCATTCTACGAAAGCGTCCATTCCCATAGAAGTCCTTATCAGGCTATATCAGAAAATCAAAACAACAGCAAATAAAGAAAAACACAGAAAAACAGAACAAAACAAAAGCGACATGGACATGAAACTACAAGTTCCACAACACACAACTTGTTACTCAAATTGGGTATCAACAACAAGCATCCGAATTCAGTGTTTTCCGGATGGACGTTGTGTCGGTGAAGACTTCGGCGCTAGAAACAGAACAGAATGCATGATCTTGTGCACACAACTGCTCCAGAATGTCTCCGCCTGTCACAACATGCACACACACAATATGCCGCCGAACGAAGTCGGAGGAGTGAGCAAACAGTAGAGAAAAAAAACATCAATCTCTGCTGTGTCTCAACAACGGTGTAGATTGTTCCGGAAGGATCCATGGGATCACACAACCTGCTCTCGGGAGGGTGGAGTCGGTAATTTTGGGTGAGTTGACACCGGCACGTGGAGCGAGCTAGCGATGTCGGAAGGATGGGTACGCATGGCACGAGAGCAAGAAGAGGGCAGTGTGGGGAGGGAAGCATGGCAGCATTGCTGGAGAATTGGGTAACTATGGTAATCGTGCGATGTGTACCACGATTGTTGGTGAGGTGAGGCTGTTTGTGTGGGAGTGGTGGAATGAGAGGAGCAGTTAGCCGGTCGAGGACTGGTGAGGACAATCGGACGTTGTGATGAGGAGTAGCAGAAGGCGAAGGCGAAGAAGAAAAAGAAAGAGTGGCGGTGTGGTGATTGATGAAGTGCAGCGCGGGAGGGGGTGTGACCAACAGGCGCGACCGGCAGAGAGACGGACAGACAGATAGACAGACAGACAGAACAGAACAGGGGAATGATCGCAACCAGTCCTTTCATGGGCTTGCTGGTTTTCCTCCTCAGCCCCCGCTCCTCATGATCCATCATTCCCTGTATTTTTATTTTTTTCTAGTGCCCATGCATGCCTGCAACCGCGCAGTGGGGTTCCTGCGAGAGCTCTGTTCATCAGTCGTGACTTCCATGGAGTACGGACACTGCGCCATGGCCGTGACACGAGGCTGGGGTTAGTGCAGCTGCATGTGCTGTGATACTGTTCGCTGCTGCTCTCTGTCATCACCAACGTGCTAAGCACTAACTGAAATTGTTGTGGGGCAGAGGTAGTGGTAGGGTAGATTGGGAGGGAGGGAGGGAGGGCAGCCAGACAGCTTGCGTCAGGCCTTGTCCAGCGATCAGTACACCTTTGTATCGATTTAACTGTGCGGAGACATTGGTAGCTTTATATCATGATGGGGAGGAGGAGAAGGAGGAGGGCTTGAAGTGTGGCACCAGATGGAGATGACGATCCAGAGCGTCTCTCGTTGTTTTCCTGCTATCTGAGCTCTCACTAGGATTGCAACACCGTCGTATCGATATTTGGAGGAGTGGGTGCAAGGCTGCTAATGTCTGGTGGCTTGTAGAATATGAATCAGAAGGAGGGTTGAGTTTGGATTTTCGAACAGTGGATTTGGATTCGGAGGTTCTCTCGCGTTGAACTTTGCGATCGTAATGTGCGAGCCTTACTGTGCATGCTGTTTAGGTGGATTGAGTATGTCTTGTATATTGGGTGTGGTCACGGTGCTTGGCTGAGTCAAGCTGAATCTCGTTTTTGTTAGGTGAAGGTAGAGACTTTCGGCATGTTTTCTTTGTCTAATGATTTTTTTGAATCTCAGAAGAGTGTTGTTAACAGAATAGATGTTGATAAGCCTTAGAAGCAGCTTTGGGAAGTAGCAGCAATTGACTCTACCCGGTCGATCTACACGAGGTCCAAAATTAGTTCTAAGTGAATTCATTTCTCAGAGGTTGCAGTGCAAGCACTCGGAAAACTTCGCCTGTTCAGAAGACATTATTCGAAATCTCCACTTACTGTCCTTCGAATTTCTAACTTCAAATGATATGAACCGACTATCCCTCACAGGGCTTCGGCTTAAAGACTTTCTTTCCTGTGCTCTATCTTGGATTCACTAAACATACATTCAACATATCGATCGCAGTGGACATGGACAAGGATATACGTTGAAAAACATCGTTTTCGTCCTCAATGACTCTCCGATTACCTTTTTTTTGTTATACTGTATTGCCATAGATATTTGCAGTTCTGATGAATCAAGTGCATCGGATGATGTCTCTCCAAGAAGTCTTGGCGCGCCCCTGGTTGCTGCTGATGTAAGCATTTGTTTTCCATACAGTGTTCACATGGATTCTTGTCACTTAAAATCTGTGCACAACTGCAGGGCTAGATGTAGCACCAATTTCTCAGCCTCATTTCTTCTCACAGGTCTCTCGGAAGTGCTCATGTGTATCAGAAGCGAGCCTCGTCCAAATGTGACGCAATCCTCGTGAGCTTGATCAATTTCTAAGGACAAAGCTGCGGAGCCCGGTCTATCCCTTTGGGTTTTGTACTCGGCTTTCTCCACTGACCCTCTCTGCAAATCTCACCACCCAGCGCATTCTAGCCATGGCTCAAGAGTCTAGCAAAATGGTAAACCTGAAATCTAGGGTGTGAATACTGAAGTCAGGAGCTCAGCAGTACCTTCTAAAAGACGTAGCATGTGAAAATGATAGTGTACCTGCATTCCGTGCGGTTCTGCAGGACAGAGACAGCCTTACTGCAGCGCCAATTCAGGAGCCTGTGGATGAATTAGAAACTTCACAAATTGTAGGTGGAGTATATCCACCGCTACTGGGATTGGGAAGAACAGCTCCTGCGAGCAACAGCTCAAAACCAATGTTGCCAGAGAATTTCCATCATCTTCCAACTAAATCACGCCTCAGAGCCTTGAAACAGGTCTGCAATTTCTCCGTAAATCTCCATTCTGTTCGGACAACGCTTCTGGTCATGACAGATGCGTAGAATAGTACAAGTTTGTGATTGTAAATACTACTGAACTTATAGCTTCTTTGAACGATACTAGGTAAACTGTTTCTCAACATTGGGATTAACCCTCACACCTTTCATGCAATGCTTTATGTGCTCAACTTGGAGCAGTATATCGAGTCATTCCAGTACAGGCTTAATGCTCAAGCGAATTTCAATGTTGGAAAACTGCGTCCACTATCACGAATAATGGATACAGCAAGGACGGTAAGCTTTATCATCATCGAATTCTCGACTTCTAGGTGTATTCAATATTAGAGTCCATTTTCATTTTTCTGTGTTTTTCAAGCTCCCCACCCCCCCCTGAACTGACAGTTGGAGCAGCCTTCGACATGGGCGTCTGTGTGTTTGAGCAGACCAATCTTATTGTCTAGCGATTGCACTATATTCTGTATGTACTCTAATAATTTCCGAGTGTGGAATCTCCTTGACAGATTATACATGCGCCGCAACCCATCAAATGCGTAGAAGCAGTCTTTGTTGCAGTCTACCTGACTGTGAGCTTCTTTCTCACAGTTGTTTCCATTACTCTTGAACCAGAGGAATTGATAGAAGCCTGTCTATGAGAGACTTGTCAACGTGAAGATGCCACTGTTGATTAATGCAGGCTGGCCTGGTCGACGTGGAACGAGTTCCTTTGGGGTTCAAAACCGAGTTGCATGGTCAGGTAGTCCCTTTTAGCACAACGTGTTAATGGTGGGCCTGTCATGATAACGAAGGTAAAGCAAACCGCAGTGAGGCTCTGCGCAAATACACAGCTCCACACACGAAACGTTGTTGGCTAGGCCCATACCACTCTATGAAGAAATTCGACAGAAACAGACAGTCTCAGTTTGCAATGGTTTTCAGTTTCACTCTAGATTATTTATGACATGGTATCAGTGATGAGCTTTGAAGGGAATAGGCCACCTTTTTAACCGCTTTCTAATTCAGCTCGAATATCTGACGTGAATGTTTTACTCGCACCGGTGACTTTCTTCATAGTCGTCTAGAATCTTTTGGTCTCGTCTTAAGTTTGTCTTCGATTGTTCTTCATTGCTATTTCATTTGGTACCTATCCAATTTACTAAGTAACTGACATCATGTCAAACGTGGGGGTTTCAGGTATATCAACACATTGTACTTCTAGTGCACCACGGTGGCAAGTGGGGAGCTTTCGGAATAAGCCGTTGTAGCGACCTCATGAACAAGGACCTGGTATTTAACAGGTACCTTGCAATCGGTGCACCTTTGCTTCCTTCCGCAATCTCGTCTCTTCTCATCGTTGACAAATTAAGTTCATCGGCCGCATAAATTTCAGCTATGCTAAGGTACTTGATATTGGTATCATTTGCAGTATGTCAAGCGTGATTGAGAACTTCACGGCAGCATACAAGTCACAAGGACACATTGTGCTGAAGGTTCGAGTGGGTCTTCCGGTAGGGCTGATCAGCGTCAGCTTCACTGTGACCCCATCGATGGCTCTTTTAATACACTTCACAAATCCTTCGGTGTGCAACTACATGTTCGCTGAAACTATAGAAGCAATTTGAGCGAGTTGTGTGTGGACCTCTTGCAGATTGAGCACAATGTTGTATCTCCAAATTTTGTGTGTTGGCGTCATCTCAATCTCAACCTGAGATACACTTCATGGTCAGAGGTATTACTTTGGCTCTCTGTCTGCTTTATCATCTTCCTTAAGCAAACACTTGGTTGTTGCAGTACTTTTCGGGTGGCATCCCATTTTAGATCAAGCGGGACTTGAAACTAAATAGAGAAAGACTCGCTATCGTTTACAACCACGTGTTTGCTTGAATTTTCTTCTATTTTTGATACCATGGGTTTTTGCTTGAATAACAAGCGCCTAAGGTTGCTACAGTGAACATTATTTGCTTGATTTAAATGTTTGCTGACACATTGAATCAGTGCGTTTTATGATGGTATGAATAGTGCCTTTCTGAAATTGACAAGCATGCGGCCAAAGGGAAAAGGCTCTGGGATTCGTAAGCTTTAATCTCCTTCCATTTTATTTTCTCAGCTTCATGCAAACTTAGTCTTTTCACAAAGAAACTGTTTTAGTTAATTATCGCTGTTTATACTATTCCACTCACCCTCCACTGCATTTCACTTTTGTGACGAATAGCGAGGACCAGTGAACGTAGTGGTGAAAGCTGAGTGAGTAGCCATTTGGTACCAAGGGATAAGCTAATACTAAGTGGGGAAGTTTAGATTGAGAAATGTCCTCTATTTCTTGATTTTCTTGGTCCAGAACTTCAAAGTTCACAACCATATATATATATATATATTTATACATATATTTCAGAATAAAATGATTATTTTAACTTGTGGAGTTGCACAGGTGGACCGGAAAAAGTGAAGATCCAACCAAGCCAAGCAGCATCCGAAAGGCCAGCCAGGATTTCAAACCTTCCCCGTCCAAATCTCATTGCTCTGATAAACTCGTCAACAAGAAAAAGCTCGCGAGCAGAGACACAACTCCCATGAGAGTCAAGCCAGTCTCTCCATACATACTCGCGACGGCCAAGGCATCCTCAAGCTCAAACTCACACGTTGATTCATCATTCAGTCTTTGTATCGACGACTCCAGCTCCGGATCCATCTTAGACACACACGTACCCACAACGACAATAGAAAGTTCCGAAACTACCTCAACTGCAGAGGTTTCTGAAGCAAAGAAGGGCTCAGAGGCTACTTCCAGTATGGTATTCTCTCCAGCTGCCGTAGGAAACAGCAAGTTCTGGAGATCAAAACCCAAAGCCAGCCGGTGCTCGGAGGAAGTGGGAGATGTCGTCAAGAGCAAGAAGCTGATGAGAACATCGACGAGCTTGCCAAGGTCGACAGGGATGCTAGTGAACCATATGCTGGCTGTGAGTCGCGGGTTTCTAAAGATCAAGTACTTCAAAGAAGCACCTGGCAACACTGGAACTTGGAGCAATGTCTTCCACGGGCCCCAACTTTCAGCAGAAGCGACAGCGGCGTCACCGACACCGACAACGCGTGGCGAGATGGTGATGGTGGGGACGACGAGTCCGTCGTTTGTTAGAATACCAGTGCAGATTCATTATCAAACACTGAACGCCGAGGCGCTGCGCCGGAAACAGTCTCCAAAGTTATCAAGAGATGGGTAGAATCCGCTCCAGTGGCACCGTCACTATGGCGGTGATGTTCTTGACTGATCGATGCGTCTGGAGAATGTTTTGCTCGATTAGGTCGATCTGGCATAGGCTTATGGGGAGTTCAGAAACAATTTGTTGCACCCTGGGCACCGATCGATGTCACACTTGTCGTTCGAATTCAACAGCATCGTGGATTCAATCAGCTCCTGATTCTTGTGTGTGTATTTGTCTATCCATATTAGCTTCGCTGCTGGCAAGTTCAACGTCTACTTTGGCCTGGATCTCTCCATGTGAAAAAAAAAAAAAAGGACTAACTTAGCTCATCCTTTTTTGTCTATCCAGTCTTTGTCATTGTATTGCTGTTTCTTAATTGATTTACTACACATATATATATATATATATATATATATATTTATTCACTTCACATACGTTACTCAGGGAAGCATGAATCGAAAATTTGAGAATTATCTGTTGCATGTTTTGGAGGAATAGGTGACAGGGAGATTTTTAATTGGTATATATAATAAAACTAAGAAGAAAATTGTGAAGAATGTTCTTGGAAAGTGTAGAGGTTGTATGATGGAAAATAAGTGATTGAGTTCATTGTTTCACAATCATTTTTGTCATGGAATTGTACTTTCAAAAATTAGTTTCAACCTTGTTGTGTTACTGTGTGAGTCCGTAATTTGACTTTTTTAAATAGAAATGAATTTCAACGTTTACTAGATTTGAATGCATGGTTTGTAGACAATCATCTTAGTTTGTTGAGATTTAATGAACTTGTGGACATAAAAACTCGTTTAGTCCCATGATGGCTGCAAAGGGTAATTGAACTATGTGATGACTACTCACTAATATAGATGGATACGAATTATTAAGTGTTAAACTAGCATCAATCATCCATGTAATTAAGTGGCAATAATAAATATAAGGTAAACATGTAATTGTTCATGCAAATACTCAATGAGGTAATATGAATGTTCATTCTCATCACTATGCAAATACTCAATGAGGTAATATGAATGTTCATTCTCATCACTATGCAAATACTCAATGAGGTAATATGAATGTTCATTCTCATCACTACGCAACTCACTGGAAAAGTACATACTGAAGATAAGTTTGAGAATATTGCATCACAACATTCAGAATAATTGATAACTTTGAGCTTTATTACGCTGAAATTCCCTGAATGTTGTCGTGCGACAGTAACCCCAAATTTTCCCATCTTTCCTTGCTTATCAGAGAGTACTACGATTCTAAGATTTACAAAAAAAGACTACACATGAAGTGAAAAAAATACAGTGAATATTAAACTTCCTCATTATAAATACTCTATTGAAATCTATTTTTCTCGTTGTATATTTAGTCCATTTGCTTTACATAGTAGATACCTCTTTAGCTAGTCATTCGACAAGGATCCTGACTGCACAGAGCCAGTTAACAAACAAGGTCGATGGGGGCTACAGTGGGATTGAGAGGAAAGAGGAGACCCGAAGTTAAGCCTCCAACCAGTTGCAAACAGGTGGCCACACAAGGCCATTTCATATCTGAAGTTACATCAGAAGTTGGAAGACCATGCATATTCCATCTGATATAAGTTGCAGGGCTGTCTGTTGATGCTCAAGCTGCTCTCCTCACATTGAACTCGGGTTGAGTATATAGGCCCATAACCCTCGAAAATCTTTCGTCAATTTCAGTTTCAGTGATAGCTGCGAGGAGTGACATAGCACGGTCGGATCAAATGCATCCGTGCGCAAAAAAGAGCAAAAGTAAGAGAGACTGTACGGTAATAAGCTGCGTAGAGAATGAGGAAGCTTCTTCATCACTTAAACAGTTCTCATCTGTGAGGTGATGCATAAGAATTCAGAACCTTGGCACCAGAGTCTGTAATTATTCTTCATTTGGATCCTTCAACGGTGAGCTCTATGTCCAACTTGATGCGCTCCTGCTCAAGCCCACTTTTGAGCAGAGAAATATCTTCCTCTGAGAGATCCCTGATCTGAGGCAGGGAAGCGGCCTTTGCAGCTAGCTGTTTTGCAACCTCGACAGCCCAGCTGTAGATCACCATACCAATTACTGCTAGAGCCATACCCAGCATGTTCTTGAAAGTCAGAATTGAGTCAAAGACGAGCCACCCCAAGGTCAAGACAGCTATTGTTTTCATGTGCCCAAGAACCTGCAGAAAAGAATATTTGTCAAATAGCATTCCAAGAGAGAAAAATTGCTCTTAAGATTGGTAATCACAGAGGAGACCGCAGAATAAGGCAACTTCAGAAGTGAACTTCTTTAGTTTTCTCACAGGTAAGAAGCTTACTACCTGAAAGGAAACTGCAGAAAATCGTCCAATGCAGAGGTATTGACTCATGTTACAAAGCACCGCCAGTAAGCACGAAAGAGATATAAAGAACTGCACAAACACAAACATATGAGTGGCTGGTATTAAGGAACCAAATTTAAAACTTTGATAAAAATAGAGTAGATATACAGAGGATTCGATTCGCGATTACCATAGGATGATAATGATTACTTACAAGGGCTCCTAGTGTGAGCTTGTAAGAGAAAACGCTTCGTCCGATCAGCATATAGTCTACAAACGGTCCCAAGGCTAAGAGGGAAGCTGCTTGGATGGGAGCGGTCTTGCTCAACAGCTCAAACGAACCACAATTATGCTTTTTTTGCAGTTGTCCAATGAACTGTACCAACACAAGACAAGGAGAAGCACGAATCAATTTACATTATAAAATATTTAAAAAAAAATCGATCTCAGTGAACAATGAATCTGGTAAAAGATTTCTTTAAGTGAAAACAAACCAAGCCTCCCGAACGAAGAGGCTTTCAGAGAGGGATTAAACTTCGTACGATCTGTTGCAATGACGTAGTGATAACAGCAATTGCAGCTGCTAGTAAGCCTGTGAAGTTCATGTGCACATCCGTGACGGTGCATACCCCAACACCCATCATGGTAACGAACACAGCAATCTTCACTTCCCGTGTGTATGTCTTACTATGCAAGAACCATTCCAAGAGACACACCACTGGTATCATACTCAACTTGGAAATCTGTCTCACAATCGAGAAACAACGTTATTACTTGAAATCTAAGTACATCGCAAGAGAGCATCTTCTGATTTCGCAATCAAAGGTCACAGCATGATTAAGAATCGCGACTGCAGTTTCATGGCGTGACAGTACTGACCTGATAGAAGCCCACAGAGTTGAGCATGAGGCTGAGGTTCATACTAACGATGGAAGTATTTGAGACTAATGAGAAAAGAAATAAATCCCAAATAGGAATCTGCTTCTGCGGAACATAGCCTAGTGCGGCTCCTATGTACCCTACAGCTGATGTCACTGTGAAGTGAAAGGCTGTCAAGGTTGTCGCTGCACAACATAATTCAGCAAAATAATCAGAAAAAAGAAAAAGCTCATTACGTTTGCTGACACGTATGGGAACTCCTATTATCCCTGAAGGTTACAGACAGCTCTTGAATGTCGTAGCGAGACTTCGACCAAGTAATCTCTCTTCTGATAGTAAGAACTGATGTACAAAGTTTCTGCAAGCTCGGGATCTCACCAAACCGAAAGTCATAGCCAGCTGCCGACATGACCTGCTTGTTAGCCATGATGATTCCAACAGAGCTGATTACATTCATGGCCCATGCGCCCGCATCAGAGATGACAGGCTTCTTCTCTGAAACCGACATGACGACCTTTTTCCAGCAGCAGATCAGCCCTTCTCCTCAGGAACAGCCAAAAAAAATTTCTATTCAAGATGAACAGGCCTCTATCAATCGTTTTAAGAAACCACAATCGACGTAATTTCTCCACCACTCGAGGATTGAACAGGTCAACCACTTATTTTTACTCTTTGGGTTGATTACGCTCTTGTGGAGTTGCAAGAATCGGCAAGTGCAAATTCATCAGAATGTCTCAGTTCTTCAACAGCTGGCTTCTACAAGTACCTATTCTGATCTCCCACGAGGACCACGAGGCTAAGCTTCACACCCTGCAAGAAACCAACCAAAGAATATGATGCTCCAGAACAGAACTACAGAAACATTGCAAGCACTTCTCAGGGATCTCTTTCAGACTGAAGCAGCTACTAATCTTTACTCGTAGGATAACAAGAAGAATGCTCTGTTTCAGCAATCAACTCTCCTACAGCTCCAGCATCACTAGCCATGGTCAAAGTAGGCCCTGCACTGCTTGCATTCTGAGATGTTGCGCCACCAGGCGAATAGCAAGTCGCTGACTGGCATGGGCCAAAAGAACTACCTAGGAACTATCACTCGCACAGAGTTTACAAGTTCAAGGATGTGGACAACATAGCCTAGAGTTGATGAAACGTTCTCAGTTGAGCCTTACTGAGATACTAAAAACTGTTTTGGCCAGCACAAAGGCCCCAATCAACGCTGCCAAGAAAACCACTTAAACTTGATTTTCTAAGCGCAAGTTCACTGCTCAATGCGACAACATAGTCCAATCACCGCAAATGATCAGCATATCCAAATCTACAGCTGAACGCAAGCCATACGCAGCCACAAGTTTTCTGTGGATGGACTCCTCCAAAAATACCTCACCTATCTCTGTCGACCCTGCAGCCGCATTCGTAACTGATAAATCTTGGAAAACAACTAAACAGAATATTTGAGCAGCTGCACGAACTAACACCATCCCTACATTTCAAGTTTCTATGCGGACAACGGAAATTCGCTAGAGTAATCGAACTCTCTCCTACACACTCCCTACGAATCAATCATTAAATCGACAAAGAGCTGAAGTACAAACCCAAGAACGGCTGAAGCATCGTCTGTGAGCAATGAGCGCGGAGACATTATGATGAGATTTTAATTTCAAAATACCCAGGAGGAATTCATGAATCACGTAGCGACCCCTTCGCGAGTACATAGGGAAATTACTTTTTCATGAAAAACCGCAGCCTTCGCCGGATCAGCAGGACATTCCGCCATCCAACCATGAAATCGATGCCATGGATTATTCACCTTCTCGAGCGCGCCTGCCAAACCTCTAGCGCGATTCAAGGGCAGTTACGTCTTCACCCCACATGAAGGGAAACCCAGATCCCTCTCCCACAGTGCAGAGACAGCTCAATGATTTAGGAATCAAATGATAACGTCCAAGGAAGGTAACAACAAGCAGGGGGGAGTGAAGTCGAAGGAAAGCGCCGCATGCACTGTGTGTCAGTAAGGACTCTGTAGATCGATTCCAGCCCCACCCCAATTGTGGGTACGAATGAGTCCTTCCTTGCATACAGTATGACACCTACAAGTCGCAACCCCCACCTCCCTAGCAGTAGCAGTAGACGACCTCGCATGATTGATTGCCATAAGGACAAGTAGTAGCATCTACGGTAGGGTGAGCGAGCCCCAGCCAGGAGGGGAAAAATCATGTTGGCGTCGTAGGGCCACAGCGGATGTCAGGGCGACCGAAGCAGCAGCAGATGGCTGCAAGCTGCAAGATGGGGATGAGTGCGGCCCGTTTGGCGAAAGTTGTGAGCAATGTTTCCTCTCCAGAGATTGAATCAAAAGTGGTTAAGGCGATGCATGATCGGGGGGGGCTTTGAAAGCGCAAAGAGGGGGTAAGAAGTTTGAGTGCGATGCGGAAGGGTGTGGGACGCGACGGGTCTGTGATTCAGCAGCAGCAGCAGAAAGCGATGATGCCCTTCGCATTTGTTCGGCGACAATTCCTTCCTCCCTCCCTGTCCCACTCTCGCTGTAGCACCTGGCTTTGCTTTGCTTTGGTGGGGTCGGGTGGGTTCAAGCTTCTTCTTCTTCGCCTGTCCTCGCCCCGCCCACTCGCACTTGCCATGCATCGCCGCTCCTATCTTGTCGCACGTCGCCCGCAAGCGTCGCATCCGAAAGCTTGAAGGCCTCGGTGTGTATGTGTGTCCCCATGGACAAGCTTCACATTCTCCCACAACAGAGTCATTCGTCTCTCTCGCGCACAAACGAACAGCAAACCCTAAAACAACAACAAGACGCCGAGGAGGATGAGAACCCTAATCAAGGAAACAATCCTAAACATAACCCCCTCCCTTGTGTAGTATTGTGTTGTGTTGCAAAAGTATATTCAATGTTGCTATTTGTGATTCTACTAGTTGAATTTGTGCAGTTGTCAAGGAAAATATGCAAAAAATTAGTTAATTTTTTTTAAGGAACTATTCCTAAAGTTTAACCATAAGAGAGCAAAAATTGTGCTGAGTCATTCAAGCACCATCTTGCCTTTACCATAGTCAGCTTTTTGGAGTCCTTCAATAGCAGTGAGGATGGCAAGGGATAGGCTTGCAAACTCTTCAAAGCTCAAGTTTTTGGGCTTTAGTGCAAAAAAATTGTCCTTGCAAGCTATATAGGATGCCAAAGTGTCCCATTGCTTGGAATTTGCAACAAGAGATTCAAAAGTCATCATCTCATCATCCACTTTGAACTTGGAGGCTCGATTGCACAATTTTACCACCACTCCAACACAATCATAACTTGGCATAATTTGAGATTTTAATGTACACATCAAAGAATTTGATTAGTAAGCTCACATATCTGAAGATTGTGTGTATGATCAACGTACATTTAGTTTGTGACAAAAATTATGGTTGAATTTTAATCTATTTTTCTAAAGCTCTTTGCTTCGACATTAATTACAATAAATGATCAAAGTATATAATGTTGATTTTTAAAATTTGTGGAAAATGATTAATGATAAATAAACACACTTTTATTCAATAAAAAAAACATAACAACTAAGAGAAATATGCATTTTGGTATCTGGAATTTTTAAAGTCGTATGTCCATAACAATTAGTTGCAAAAATACTGAACTATTCCAGAGAATACTGATAAATCTGAATTTCTCACAATTATCTTCATCGCATTTTTATCTGTGTTTGTGATCATTCTGACAATTCTATCCTGATAATGTATTTCTCAAACGTGAAAGACAGAAAAATAAATAAATAAATAAATTGTCAAAAATCAAATGCTTTCAAATAAATTTAACTTCATATTTTTCCACTAATTTCATGATCTATCATTCATTCAACATTACTATATTTGGTTGAAGTAAAAAACATATATGGTAAACTTTCAAGTCTAAAAATAAGAGTATGGGTTTTTGTGAGGACAACGTTGTAGTTAAGGATACATTCAAACTGATATTGTGTACTTTCAGATACATGATAGTAAAGAAAATTATTAAAAGTATGTTAAATTAATCAAAAAGGTTCAAATAATTCTAAGTGATGATTATTCTCCTATTCTACTCCTTTAATAAAAATAAAAATAAATAAAATAATGTTATATATTGATATGTTGACAGATTTATATATTTTACTAATGGAATCTGGCCTTTCTTCATTACACTATCCATGTTGTATTACCAATAAAACACATTTTCTAAAAAACCTAATATATTGACAAAACTAGATTAGTTAATAATAATAAAACTGATAAAATAATAATGATTGTAATACAATACTCAAAAAAATGATAACATTGTGTGGACAAGCACAATACCAAAGTACCCACAAATCATTTGTTTGTAAAGTACTTAGAATCACAAGCATTGATGAGTACGGTTGATTTAATGCAACATTACACTCAAACACTTATACTTGCAAATCTTATTTAAAATGAAAATAAATAAATAAACAAATAAATAAAATACAACGTAGGTTTGGATCTATCATATTAAGAAATAGAGTGCCAAGTGATGAATATTATGGAATCTTTGCATTTTGCGCATCAAAGTCAAGGAAGCCATTAGTATTAAAAAATTGAAAATTAAAATAAATAATATGGAGATTATTTCAAAAGCTATGAGAGAAGAACGAATCCAAGAGAAAATTAAACCATGCAAAGAATTGTTCAAATACAAGCAAAGTCAAATTACATATTTAAGTACAAATTTAAGTCATATTTTCCTACTGAATAAAATAACAAAAATTATGGTTACAAAATGTTTTTATTTGAAGTAAATAGATTTAAATTTTAAATTTTTATGTTGATTATCTTTCAGCTATATTTGAGAAACTAAAAAACTGGTTTTTCAAATGTTCGTAATTATCTAATAACTTTAAGTTTAAAATAATTAATAGTAGTGTTTTGGTTTCTGAATAATACAAAGATCTTAATGAAAGTATCTAAAAAAATAGTTGTTTTTTGAAAATTAGAAATAAAAATGACTCAATGAAACTACTGAATAAAGGTTTAATACTGCTATAGTTTTATTTTCATAATTTATCTTAAATGAAATTAAATTAAGATATAAATTATCAAATTTTAATGAATTAATTAATAAAATTAAAACCAAAATTCAAACACAAGTTTCTTTTTTCACTTGATTGATATGTTTAAATTATGATTGAAAAGTACACATGAAATTAGTGCTTATGCAATGAAACACATAGATTGTGGTACACATAAATTTAATATTCAATTATTAATTGTAAAAATCATTTAGCTTATTTTTAAATGTACTTATTTAAAAATGAGGTTTTACAAGATGCACTTGAGAAACAGTTTTACAAATTTTGCAAGTAAGTTTGAGAATTTCTTTTTGCAATCATCTATTTTTCTTTAAAAAACACATTTTAAAATTTGATTTAATTGAATTTTAATTTTCGGTTTTTCTTGATTATATATTGTCATCATTCTTAGAGTGTACTCTTCTAATCAATATGATTTTTGATATTTCAATAATCTTAGTTTCTACGTAATATTTACTAAAAGTATTAATACTTTTAATAAAAAGGAATTTTATTTTACTTTATTTATTTAAATTTTAACTAGTGAAAAAAATCTACCTTAGAAAAATAGTCAGTTTTCATAGACACTTAAAATTCCATTTAATTACATTTGCATACATACTCAAAAAGAAAAAGGAACCAAAAGAAAAGAAAAATAGAAAAGAATACCAAAGCCTCTTAAAGAATCAAACTAATAGATTTTCTTAGTAATAAGAAAAAAATTCTTTTGTCGAGATCTTATTTGAGATCCCAATTAGTTAATTACTAACAAGGAATGAAACTATCCCTCAATTAACGGCCCCACAAGGCAAATGGAGGACGATCGGGCATCGGTAACTGCGCCCACGAGAGACAGACACAGGCCCCTTCACCGGGGGGTTGTCAAATCAGCCCCATAACCAAGCCAGGCCCCTCGCAAAGTTGGAAGCTTGTTCTGCTGCCGACACCGTGCTGCGGCACGCAAATCTGCGAGAGGGTGGCTTCGCGCTGCACAATTTGGCGGCACCCATCATTCATCACCCTCATTCTCGACCTTCCAACTGAATTATAAATTGACCCAGCTGCTGTATCTCTCGATTTTCTCAAGGCTTCAGTTGGCCTACAATGCTCATCAAATGCGTCCCTCTGGGTGCGTCGGAACCTGCGACTTTGCTCTCGCTTCACTTGCGCTGTAATCGTGTTTTTTAACGATTCGTGCCTTGGGTCACAGTGAATTTGAGCGAGGTTTTAGGGTTTTAGGCTCAGAGGGGGGAGGGGGGGGGGTGGGCAGTCGATTGAGGTGGAATTGGGTGTGGCAGGGGCGGGGCAGGATGTGGGGAAGAGCTGCGTGATTGTGACGATCGGAGGGAAGAATATTATGTTCGATTGCGGGATGCACATGGGCTACCAAGACGAACGCCGTTATCCCGATTTCTCCTTCATCTCCAAGTCCGGCGACTTTACCCATGTCATCGACTGTGTCATTGTCACGCACTTGTGGGTGTTCCCTTCTGCGCGTTTTTCTAAATGGGTTTGGCAATCGTGCATTCGAAACCGCGTTCTGAGATGTGTTGATGGATGCTTTAGTTATTGGTTTCTGTCATTTGTACAGCGCTGTGTACAATCAGGTCAGATAATATTTGTCTCCAAGTCGAGGTCCTGATGGATCTCTGTATTTCTGTGGTAATTAATGGTTATTAAGGCTTTTTATTTGTTTGCTTGTTATCGCCGTTGATAATACTTCGAAGTTTTGGGCTGCATTCCTCAGTGCGATGATGTTCGTGTGTGCAGCCACTTGGATCATATAGGAGCTCTACCCTATTTCACTGAAGTCTGTGGTTACGATGGCCCTATATACATGACCGTGAGTTGTATTTTTGTCATTTCTTTTCTTAACTTTGATCCATGAACTGTTACCACACGAGTCTAGAGATATGGAACCTTGGAAGTAAGTAAGTAAGCAGCAGCTAATTAATTTCCTCCTCTTCTGGAGGAATCTTCTCGATGTTCAGTATCCGACGAAAGCCTTGGCACCTTTGATGCTGGAAGACTACCGCAAGGTCATGGTAGAGAGAAAAGGAGAGCAAGAGCAGTTCAGCGTTCTTCAAATTCAAAAATGCATGAAGAAAGGTATGTTGTTTTGGAAGCATTCGCGGCTCGAAAGCCCTCGGTTACGTTTTAAGGTATATAGCAAAATATGGAGCCGAACTGCGAAGAGGTTTTACTCACTAAGAATAAGGACATTATTAAGTTCTCGAATCCTCATGCAAGAGTCTCAGTCAATCTGACTTTATGTTTAATTCAGCTGCATTTATCAGGTTATTTTGAGTAAGGTCTTTGGGTTATAGTTGTGACATGATGTGGTTTCGGTGTATAGTGACTGCGGTTGATTTGCGCCAGACAATAAAAGTGGGTGCGGACCTCGAATTTAGGGCATATTATGCTGGCCATGTGAGTTCTTGAACCCCTTTTAGTTCTCAATATTGCGTACCCTCGGTTGGAAACTTGTCGTTGGAATCATAAATTGACTCACTTGAATGAAACTAGGTACTTGGAGCAGCAATGTTTTGGGTCAAGGCTGGGGACGACACTGTTGTTTACACAGGAGACTATAACATGACTCCAGATCGTCATCTTGGTGCTGCCCAGATTGATCGTTTGGAGCCAGATCTCCTTATTACGGAGTGAGCACACACACACACACATACACTAGAACAAATGTAAAGAAAGAGAAGAAAAAACACCTCAATGTTTTGACGATTCCGAGTTATGATTCTAAATTCTCGATTTTAAATGCATTTTAGATTGGTCATTTTTAGATAGAGTCCAAGTTTGAAGGTATTGAAATTGGAATGTATTTCTAAAATATTAACTTAATTAATTGATGATCTATTTTGCAGATCAACTTATGCAACCACTGTTCGGGATTCCAAACGAGCTCGGGAACGTGAATTTCTTAAGGCTGTAAGTCTTCATAAATGGCTATTCTCTTGAGTGTACCTTTGACATTGTATCACTCTCTTTATGTTTTGTTCAAAGGCACATGACGCAAGACGCCTCATTGGCTACCTTAGTTGCTTGATAATTCCCAAGGCTTTATCGTTTGTGTTTGTAAGAAAACCACCGATGTGCTCGTTGGGTCTGGCAGGTTCACAAGTGTGTCGCTGCAGGTGGCAAGGTGCTGATACCTGTGTTTGCACTTGGTCGAGCCCAGGTATTTTGGTTTCTGTATAGCACCACACCATTTCATTTCATTGTAAGTCTCTGATATAAGAAATAGTGCATTTGAATAGTTTATCAGCGAACTCTTTTAACTACGTGGTGTTAATCTCAACGAAGTCCTTCTCATCTGTAAGCCATTTTAGATTAGAAGACAATCCAATCCACCGCTATGCATCTTTTCTAGTTGCAGTGTACGTGTATTACACCAAGCACAGATTCCAATTTTATCTGTCGATCTGTCGACGATTAACGGATGGCTTCGGTGGGCAGGAGTTATGTATTCTACTGGATGAGTATTGGGAGCGTACCAATCTTGATATGCCCATCTACATCTCTGCTGGTTAGTTATCGGCCGTGTTGTAGAAGGTGATCAATTCTGTGCAAAAGCTACTTGTTGCTCAGTTGCTGTTAAAACTTGTCAGTAGTGGAGATTAAACGGGTGATGATTGCAGGGCTAACCATGCAAGCAAATGTGTATTATAAGCTGCTGATCAGCTGGACCAATCAAAAAGTCAAAGACACCTATGTTACAAGGAACACTTTCGATTTCAAACATGGTACAGAACACTAAATCCGGACTCATTCTTCCTATTATTCTGTATAATGATAAATACATTACTAAATTTTTGTTGTATTGAGTGTCATGAAATACGTTTTTTGTTTTCTTACATGTGGTCTTTATTGGGACAGTTATACCATTTGAACGTTCAAAAATAGATGCACCGGGACCATGCGTTCTGTTTGCAACTCCTGGAATGCTTAGTGGAGGTCTCTCGCTTGAGGTGTTCAAGCACTGGGCTCCTTCAGAGAGCAACATGATCATTCTGCCGGGGTGGGTGACTTTTTCAAAATTATTTCATTTTTGTGTTTGTATGGGTGAAACAGCTGGGAATCAGAGAAGTCTGAAATTGAGGGACCTTGACCACGGTAAAGTAGGCCTAACATCAGAAGTTTGGTGATACGTGCGGTGTTATTCTATCAGCATGTTGAGAAGCTGGAAACAGGTTTTGTGTTGCAGGAACTGTTGGTAGTAAGCTCATGCCCGGAAAGCCCGCGAAAATTGATCTTGACAAGCGCACAACCTTGGATGTTCGTTGCCAGGTCAGCGCTGGGGTTTCTACTCGTTTGTAATGACTTTTACATTTGCCAAACTAGACTCTTAAATATGTGTTATTCGCACTTGGCTGGGTACTAACTGGAAGAGTTTACCAACCATTGAAGTGTCAGAGCTCAGCTCAGAGCTGTTCTCGTACTCGCTGTAGAGTTTGCGATGGATTTTCTCTTGTTTAGTTACTTGTTTTCGGCTGAAAAAGGAACCTGACTGTCTTGCAGATCCAACACTTATCGTTTAGTGCTCATACGGATGCCAAGGGCATTCTGGACCTTGTGAGGCATGTTGCACCTAGGAACGTGGTCTTAGTCCATGGAGAGAAGCCCAAAATGGCCATTCTGAAGAAGAAGATCTCCTCAGATTTGTGTAAGTCCAAACAAAACCTTTACTTTATTTTATTTTATTTTATTCTTGGGAAACCTGTTTATCTTGCTGTATTCAAGATTAACATTGAACTCTTTTCTGCGTGAACCCTTGAGTCCTTTAGCTTTTGAAAACTATAGAATTAATATAATTCATTCAGTAGGCGAATTTTACGTGTGTAAAACATTCATAGTATCGTCCATAAGCATTTCCAGAGTTTTGTTTAATGCACTCTTTTCATCTACTTCTCTGTTTCCAGGCATTCCTTGCTACGATCCAGCAAATCTCGAGACAGTAGAGATAACACCTCGATGTCCTATTAAAGTTGGAGTATCCAAGCAATTTCTTGAATCTAATCTCAAAAAAAGTGAGCAAGAGTGCATACTGGACGTACCGCTGGAGGAGGAAGGTAGTCAGACAGAGATCGTAGCGTCACTCGATCTCTCCCAGCTGCAAACAGAGGATCGTCAGTTCCAACTTCCTCGTGCGAGAGAAGACATTCTAGTAAACGGCTTTGTCATAATGGAAGACTCATTAAGAATCAAAGTGATCCATCCTGATGAGGCTTCATCTGTGCTTGGACTCACCCGGCACCACATGAGTTTCTCCTGTTTGTGTCCTATTTACCCAGCCCATAACGATGGAAAAAACGATTTGCCAGTCAGATGTCCATCCCCGGTTGATTTGAATGCTGCAGAAGATGGTAGACAAGAAACACTAGTGGGCATTAAGGTGACCAACCCGTTTCCTCTTGGACTTTTCACATAGATTAGTCCTGTTTCCTAGTTCTCACTTCATTAAGTCAGAAACACTGTTTTTCAAGGATTAATAGTATTCACCTGGAAACTGAAATGGGTTTCTCTCTCGCCGGGATTTGCTGGTTTCTCTTTGTCTCAACAGAGACAAGAAGAGGAGCCATCGAAGAAACGGCACCGAATGGATTTACAACGCAACCTCAGTCTGGACTTGGAACGAGAGCCTGTGTTGGAGGAGTCAACTGAGGATGCCTGTGAGTTTGAGTCATCGTCAAGAGATTTTTTCAATGGTCCTCCTCAAGAGACGAACCACAACACCGTGCGAGGTTTAGGAGGTGGGATCAGCCTCGACATCAATGCTACACCAGACCCGTCTACTCCTGCTGAAAGCCCTTCCGTTGGAAGCAGAGGCCAAGACATGGAATTTGTCAGTGTCTGGCCAGCTCAAAGCCAGCAACGACTAGAGCCCCTTTCCGTTCTTCATGTAATATTTATGTGTCTAGTCATGCAGCTTGGAGAAGGCGTAGTGGAGGAGAAGCATGAATGTATACAAGGTAGGTCGATTAGGATTAGTGTAAGCCCTGAAGGTAAAAACCTTGACTTGGAGAATGTTTCACATTCTAATGACGGTATGACGACGACGAAGCCAGTAGTGGTACTACTTTGTGAATGGTCTTCTGAAGCCCAGATTCTAGCAGATAGGATCCTTAACGTGTTAACAAAATTGAAGCTGAAGTTGTGATGACTGGTTCTGAATGGACTATGTTACTTTGGGGCATATGTGATAGTAGTAATTCCTTGGCGTGCTTTTGAAGAGGAGGAGGAGCATCTACTTGTCTGGAGGGGAAATTCAGTTTATTAAAGAAATTCCAAGCGGCAACACACTTGAATATGGTCTTGTTTTTCCAACTCTGATCATGCATTCTTGCATTTTATTTTATTTTATTTTATTTGTGTGTGTGTGTGTGTTCAGAAGACGCTGAAATCAGTTTGCCAATTAGGACCTGAGATTTGCTGTTTTTTTTTTTTTTTTTTTTTTTTTTTCCCTCTGTCTGGTCTAACAAATTATCTACAAAATTACGAAACTTTTCACGTGGAATTCTTTATGTGCAACATATAGAAAATGACCAAATTAATGCTGTGATGTGTCTGTTCAACCGCCTTGGCAGACGAGCCCCTAGACTGACTGGATGTTTTGTGCTTGACTGTGGTATCCTTAGCTTTGTTGGCTATGTTGTGCAACACTTGGCTAGACAGAAATTTGTTATAACAAATTTCTGTTCTTTTGTATGGGTTTTGGATTGTTTTGTTGGTTTGTTTTACCTTCTGAATTTGAGATTGTTCTATCAATTTTTGTCTATCCTCTATGTTTTAATTTTTTCTATTTATTTTTTTCTATTTATTTTTTTCTTACTATTATTTATTTTTATCTTTGCTCCCGACTGCAACTTATTTGTTTCCTTACAACTAAGGTGCTAAATTGACACCTTGATTGCAATTTGCATATCAAGATCCTTAATCCTTGTTTTGGTTGTAGATTGCAACCAAAGGTTTTAATTGTTGCATTGGTCATGGTTTGTAGGCAAGACTATCTTTTCTCAAGAGTTTTGTATTGTGGGGTTTAGAAGTTGTGTTGTGTTATATAAATTTGTGCATGGTTGGGTTGTTTGCAACCATTCATAGTACTTAGCTCCAATTCTTTGTACTAAACTTTTCTCGATTCCATCCTTTTTGTTAGAGTTGAATGCTTGCAATTTGCTTCAATCTCTTTCAATATACAAAAAGAATCAAAAGCATAAATAATATTTTTATTATACTTTTTATTTATTTATTATATTATTTATTTTTATTTCAAAATTTAAGAAAAAAATATCATATGTACACTTCAAATATGATGAAATATCAAGAATATCCATGCATTCTTGAAAATAGCAAATATATTCTTTAGATTTGTGATAATAGCAAATGTACTTTTATTGGTTAGAAGGTATTACCAACATTTGTTGTTTAGATGTCATCTAGGGCCTAGACCACGGGCTACGTAGATTTTATTGTGACCTTTTTTGGCTTTTCAAGAATTGGAAAAATCTTCCCTTCTTTTCTTTTATTGATTTGCAAACCACATCTTACATCATAGATTTTTGGTAGTGGCAATGCTTTTCCTGATCTAGTGCTTACATCCTTCAAATTGCATGCCACCACCACTACCATCTACTTGCCAACAAGCCTTTGTACATTGGAATACAAATGTGATTTATGGGGTAGTAAAAAAATTAAGAGGGTGATGTTGCATAGGTGTGATAAATTTCTCAAATCAGATTTTTGGATGAAAATTCAAGGCCATCAGTGTAAGTGTGGAAGTCAGGTGCATACTATATGCATTTTCAATGACAATGGTATGCATAAATATGCTCAAATGTATATTCATTCAAATGAAGAAGCAATTTGGCAAAATATAATGAAGAATAATTTGATATATAATTGTGAAACTCAATTGGCATTGACCTTGTTGTCTCTTATGCTTGTATTAAGACAAATATAAAAAATAAAGATCACTACTACAAAAAGCTTTGTCCTTTCTTGGACCAATAACAAATTTCTTGATATTGCTAAGTTTCTATATAAAAAAGCACATATGTCTTTTGACACTTGTTAGATACTAGGGCTTTCATTTTTTAAAATGAAGCCATTAAATACGTGGTTAATTATTCTAATCCAAGTTAGCAACTTGGCCGTCAATACTAAAGTAGGAATATAATCAAATTTTCCATATTTGCTAATTAAAAATAAATATTTTGTGATAGTATTTGAGATGATACCCAGAAAGTTGCAAGAATTGGACAATAGAACAAGTTTGTCAAGGGCCAATGATACTATATTTAAAAAAAATTCAAGCCAAGGACTATTATACGCCCTTTAAAGAAATGATATACTTAGTGTTGAGAATTTTTAGACTAAGTAGAGAGATTGATAGAGTAGAGTAGCCACTTTAGAGCTAAAATGTCCAACTAGAGTATGAAAGTGATTGACCATAGTTAGAGACTAAGACCTTTTAAATCTAGCTTTAAATTAGTAAGAGTGCTTTGTTTTGAAAAATAGAGGTTTAGAAAACTAAGATAGAAATGCTTGAAATAGGTAGAGAAGTATTAATGTAGAATGCTAAGTGCTTAGCCTGAACTAGAAGAATTTTTTTAGTAATTTTAGTATTCATTTTAGAAGAGACTTAGGGCGTTGCCAAAAAACTCCGCTAATTTGGCAGTGCAGCCAAACTTGGATGCCATTTAGAGAACCTCTAAGTAGGTCTTCTAAATTAGAGAACCTCTAAGTAGGTCTTCTAAATTAGAGAACCTCTAAGTAGGTCTTCTAAATTAGAGAACCTCTAAGTAGGTCTTCTAAATTAGAGTACCTCTAAGTAGGTCTTCTAAATTAGAGTACCTCTAAGTTGGTCCTCTAAGTTAGAGTACCTCTCAGTTCAGCAGCCAATTTTTAGGATTTTGGGAGGTGTCGGAAATTCCGGGAGAAAGCGTAGGCTGGTGGCTTTGGCTGCAAGTGCAGAGTGGGGTCTGTCTATGTCCGAGGCAAACGACCTACCGGGAAAGGATGGAGTGACTCCACTGATCACCCTAGCGCACTCTGAAACTAAGGAGGTACATGGAACAGCGGTGAGAGGGTTGTGTGATCTGGTTTTCAAACCTGGCAACGCACTGCGGATGGTGGAAAGAAGAGGTGAAGGTCACGAAGGGAGACACCTTGTTGGGTGGAGAGGACTTCGACAATGCTCTCCTTCGACAACTGGGGGATGATTTCAAGGAGCAAGGCATCAGTCTTTCTTCGGACCGGATGGCGCTTTAGTGGCGTTGCGGGAGGCAGCGTCGAGACCAGTGGGGTGCTGCGCTCTTGAGCTCTGGCATTGCGGGTTCGCTCTGCCGGAAATCGTTCACATTTTTGACAAGCGCAGAGCAAGAACGAGAGGCTGGCACAAGTGGTGCTCTTTGAGATCGGGAGCAACTGCAATGGTAGTAGGCACTACCGCCGGAAAAGAATGACATGAGGGAAAGAGAGCGTCCAGTCGATCGCCATCGTCACGTTGACAAGTGATCGATTGATCGATGCAACGCTGTGGAGAGTTTTGTGACGATATAGTGTGAGTGCAAGAGGCAGATCCGTTGAGTGACATGATCGGAAATGATCGGTGCCGAAGTTGAGCAACCGGCTATATGTATGGATGATTGATTAGTGCTCTCTGCATTTGCTTGCCAATTTAGACGTGAATGAATGTAGCGGTGCCAGTGTAGCAGCTGCGAACGCAAAGCTGTTGGCTGATGAGGAGGAGCGGGAGATCAAGCATCTGGTTGCGAGCATCATTGATTACCAGATGAAGAAGCTGTACAGTAAGCTGGAGCATTTTGCAAAGCTGCTAGCTGTTGGAGGTTGAGCGAGCTCGACAACAAGGGTATGCGGACCATTTGGGGTATGTGGAGGCGCAGGCGGCAAGTGCAAAGTCGTTGTCAAGGAATCCGGCCCCGAGGTGACGAGATGCGAGGATGTTGGTAGGATGGGAACCATTGAGAGTTGTGGGAGTGGAGACTGTGGCAGAGCTGGATGAACTTGTGGAGATGAACTTTGTGCGCAAGCACGCATTGGAGCTGGTGCGGTCTTTGGCGGAAACAGTGAGGCTGGATGCCCGGACGAAGATGATGTCGAGCGGTGACGAGGAGGTGCGTGAGATCGAGAAGAGGCTGTCAAACACGATGGGTTGGAGTACAAGTTCTGGCATGGTGGATAACTGGGTGTACGAAGAGGCGAACAACACCTTCATCAATGACGAGGAGATGCAGAAGAGGTTGTTGGAGACGAACCCCAACTCATTCAGGAAGCTGGTGAAGACGTTTTTGTAAGCGAACGGGCGTGGCTACTGGAAGACTTTTGAGGACAATCTGGAGAAGTTGAGGTAGAGTCAGCATCGAAGAAGTCGGCTGCTGAAATTGAACATTTGTTTCATATACGGCGTGGAGAGAGGGACGGCGGAAGGGTAGAATCGATGACAAGGCCGGGCGGCCGCAGACAAACGCGCTGCGAAGTCTTGGCAGCAAGGATCAAATCCAGAAGTAGAAAATTATGGTGTGCGAAGCGGAGCCCCAGGAGAAGTGCCAGGATCTGAACGAAGAGGTGGACATTGGGATAGACGACCTGGCCACCCTAGAACACGTGCTTGTTCGAAGGCGGTATGGATTGAATGCGAGGGAGGTTAAAACCGCATGGTTGTAGTCTGCGGAAGCAGTAGGGTTCGCACCGAAAGACGAATTGGACGAAATTAAAAAAACGCATAGATGTTGAGCGAACTGTAGAAGTGTTACGCACCCATGGAAGGACTAGTGGAAATGAGAGCAACGCCTCATGTGGCGAGGCCAATGGTCGTAGAAGGAGGGAGGGTATGGACGTGATGCTATTGTATAGGCGACCCATTTGCTGACTTCTGCACATGATTTGGGTGGTCTTCTGTTCATCCATGCGTGTACTTCACATAGGGAGGCATGCGGGTTTTGCTGCGGTGCGTGGTCAAATACCTCAAATGCGTCTGTGGAAACAAAAAAGAGAAGTTCTGTAGGAACAGAGGAGCGGCCGATTGATTCTGGGAGGGAGGTGGAAGCCCGTTTTAGAAAAGCGTTGCGAGGCTAGGCTTTGTCGGGATGATGGAACGATACAAAGAAGCGATGCGATTGTTCAGGGCGAGCAAACCACCAAAAATCTTTGAGTTTTGTGTTGGAATGAGTCCCCTCGAAGTCCATTCCCACAGACATATGAGAAAGACTTACTGGAGCTGTTATGAGGTCTTGGGAGCCTACTTGGAGCAATTGAGATGCTGTGAAGATTTATCGGAGAAGTAAATTGCGATGTATGTGATCGAC